CCATCCATCCATCCATCCATCCATCCAGCCAGCCAGCCACCCAGCCACCCATCCATCCATCCATCCATCCTTCCATCCATCCATCCATCCATCCATCCAGCCAGCCAGCCAGCCAGCCATCCATCCAGCCAGCCATCCACTTATCCATCTACCCATCTATCGTGGAACGTCTCCCTCATTTTCTGACAACCAGCGGTCCCAGAAACACTGCCCTCTCCCGCCACCCTTCACGTGCCCAGAGGGTGGATGTACCGTACCGTGTGTGTTTCCGTAGCTGTCATAGTTGGGGTCGTGGCCGCCACCGCCGCCTATGGGGCAGAAAAGGGAGAGATGAGGACACGCGTGTTGCTGGGTGTGGGGTTCCAGCCAGCATCTGTGTGCCTCGGCTGGTGAAAGCGCAAACACAGAGGCCATGCTCTGAGCCACCCCAAGAGGGTACCAGAGACAGGTAAAGAACAGACGCCCAAGGGGACCCCCCACCCCCCGCACAAAGTCATGTCTTCCTGGTAGGAAAACTCGCGCCAGGACTGGACTCTGTAGAAAGAGCTGTCTCCTCTTTGACTTCGCGGAACAAAAGCCCCCACACCCCACACCCTGAGAAGGTCCTTGGGTGGTGCCAGCGGTTTGCGCTCACCTGCTAACCTAAAGGTTGGCAGTTTGAACCCACCCAGCAGTACCACGGAAGAGAGACCTGGCAACCTGCTTCTGTAAAGACTACAGCCAAGGAAACCGTATGGAGCAGTTCTACTGTGTAACACATAGGGTCGCCATGAGTCAGAGTTGACTCGACGGCAACGGGTTTGGTTGGATTTAAGGACGTTAGTGGAAGTGAAAACAAAGAGAGAAAAAGAATATTCAGGCACTTCCAACCCCACTGGTGCCTTGGAGGAAAGGCCTGGCGATCTACTTTCTAGAAATGAGCCAGTGAAAGCCCCATGGAGCCCAGTTCTACTCTGACAACATGGGGTCGCCATGAGTTGGAATCCACTCAATGGCCACTAATAACCACCTCGCTAGCTCGAAATCATGGCAGGAACAACCTCCTTGTACGGAGAAATCTACCTGGGGCCAGGGACCAAAATACAGACTCACCTTTTAAAGGGATAACCAACTAGATGTTCCCAATCATAGATGTTCTTAGTTTCTTTGAATTTATTTAAAAAAAATAAAAAAGAACCCAAACCCACTCAGTTGAGTCCCTTCTGACTCACGGCGACCCTACAGGACAGAGTAGAACTGCCCCATAGGGTTTCCAGGGCTGTAAATCTTTACTGGAGCAGACTGCCACATCTTTCTCCCTCAGAGCTGCTGGTGGGTTTGAACCACTGACCTTTTGGATAGCAGCTGAGTGTTTTAACCACTGTGCCACCAGGATCCTCTTTAATTTATTAAGGACTCTTTAGCATTTTTTTCCTGATAATTACCGTACTAGCCTTTACAACAAAGCTATTTACATTTATTGCGTTTAAGCATCACAGAAAAGATTTCTGGAAGCCACCTGCTTGTTCAGAGGTCAGATACCAACCCTTCTAAGGTATCCTGGTCAAGCCCACTCGCTCTTCCAAAAGAACTACAGAAAGGAGAGACGTCACATACTTGAAAATAAAGCCTGAAGGTGACATGGTTGCGTACAGCGTTACATGCTTATCTCTCTCACATTGTCTGTGCTTGTATTTATGTGTGAAATATTCTTTGTAGGCGTTCATACTCCAGTTATAGAGGAAAATGTATGTATACATATGGACATATATATGTGTGTGTAGAAGTTTATCTAGCTAGCTAGCTAGCTATCTTTCTCTCTATATAATCTCTCTTTGCCTATCTACCTACCTACCACCTACCTATCTACTTACCTACCTACCTATTATCTATCTACCTGTGTATCTATCTATGTATCTGTCTGTCTGTCTATCTGTCTATCTGTCTTTCTGTCTTTACCTACCTACCTATTATCTCTGTCTCCCCACCTATTATCTGTCTATCTAATCTATCATCTGTCTGTCTGTCCATCCATCAAAATGAACACCAGTTTTAAAATGGAATCTAAAGGTCTGTGTGTATCACGATCAGTTTTCTCAATTTCACAACCATCATCCCGGTGTAAACGAGACCCATAAATGGCAAACCCCTCCGATGCAGCCTCCAGACCTTCTGCTCCATCGTCCACATCGTCACAACCCCATTCGTGCCCGACTTTGCACTTCCGCCTCATCCTGTGTCCATTTCCCCCGGAAGTCACATGTCTCAGACGACCCTTTCCAGGCAAATCAACGTGCCCGAAGCAACCCTGGACGTACCTGCAGGAGGCCGGGGTCTGGGCGGGTGGCCCCCGTCATTGTGGTCTATGTCATTGAAGTACCCTGTGGGTGACAGCAGACTGCAGTCCCTAAACCGTCCCCCAGGAAGACCTCCTTAAAACCCTGCTCTGAGTCCACACTAAGTTAAACGGACACTGATTAAGAACGGGTTCCAACCCTGGCCAGCTCTTCTCAGGACGCCCGGGGCGCGGGAAAACAAACTTCATGGATTCCCGGGAAAGAGATGGGGACTGGTGTGGAGTGAACAGCAGGGCCCTGGAGGCACTCTCCACATCGTGGGGTTGTGGTGTAAACGGTTAACATACTCAGGGGCTAACCGGAAGGTTGGAGATTCATTTGGAAGAAAGGTTTGGTGATCTACTTCCTGAAAATCACCCAACCAAAAACGCTATGGACCACAGTTCTACTCTGACACACATGGGGGCACCATAAGTCTCAATGGCAACTGGTTTGGAGTTCCTGGGTAGTGCAAATGGTTAAGCGCTCAGTTGCTAACTGAAAGGTTGGAAGTTCCAGTCCACCCAGAGGTGCCTCAGAAGAAAGGCCTGGCGATCTACGTCAGAAGAGTCATCCACTGAATACCCTGTGGAGCACAGTTCTATTATGACACACGTGGGGGCGCCGTGAGTTGGGGTCAACTCCACAGCAACTGTTTTTATTTTTATTTTATTGCTGTGCTTTAAGTGAAAGTTTACAATTCAGGTTAGTCTCTCACACAAAAATTTATACATACATTGTTATGTGACCCTAGTTGCTTTCCCCGTATTGTGACAGCACACTCCTCCTTTCTACCTCCTATTGCCCATGTCCATTCAACCAGCTCCTGACCCTCTCTGCCTTCTCATCTCACCTCCGGACAGAAGCTGCCCATTTAGTCTGATGTATCTACTTGACCTAAGAAGCACACTCTTCCCAAGTATCATTTTATGTCCCATAGTCCAGTCCAATCTTTGTCTGAAGAGTTGGTCTCAGGAACGGTTTTAGTTCTGGGTTGACAGAGAGTCCAGGGGCTGTGTCTTCCAGGGTTCCTCCAGTCTCAGTCAGACCGTTAAGTCTGATCTTTTTACTAGAATTTGAGTTCTGCACCCCACTTTTCTCCTGCTCCATCAGGGACTCTCTGTTGTGTTCCCTGTCAGAGCGGTCATTGGTGGTAGCCGGGCACCATCTAGTTCTTCTGGCCTCGGGCTGATGAAGTCTCTAGGTTATTTGGCCCTTTCTGTCTCTTGGGCTAATACTTTCCTTTTGACTTTGGTGTTCATTCTCCTTTCCTCCAGGTGAGTTGGGACGAATTGATGCATCTTAGATGGCCGCTCGCTAGCTTTTAAGACCCCAGATGCCTCTCACCAAAGTAGGATGCAGAACATTTTCTTCATAAGCTTTGTTATGCCAGTTGACCTAGATGTCCCCTGAAAGCATGGTCCCCAGACCCTTGCCCCTGCTACTCTGTCCCTCAAAGTGTTTGATTGTATTCAGGAAACTTCTTAGCTTTGGTTTAGTCCAAGCAACTGGTTTATATATATATGCATACATACAGTACATATAAAATATATACTATTATATGTGGTGCAAAGGTTAAAACACTCAGCTGCTCACTGAAAGGTAGGAAGTTCAAGTCCACCCAGGGGCATCTCAAAAGAAAGTCCTGGAGATCTTCTGAAAAATCAGCCAATGAATACCCTCTGGAGCACTGTTCTACTCTGACACACGTAGGGTTGCCATGAGTCGGAGTTGACTTGACGGCAGCCTGTAGTTTCAATATGGTGTCCCTGGGTGGTACAAATGGTTAATGTATTGGGCTGCTAATCAAAAGTGTGGAGGTTCGAGTTCCCCCCAAGGTGCCTCGGAAGAAAGACCTGGCAATCTACTTCCCCAAAATCAGCCATGAAAACCCTGTGGAGTACAGTACTCTGACACACATGGGGGCGCCATGACTCTGACTTGACTCCAGGGCAACAGGTTTATCGGTAGGCATTTCACAATCAAGGTTAGAATCTCAAGGCATTAAAACAGAAAGATGCACCCAAACGCTCTTAAACGCATCCTAACACTCACTGCTCTTACCTCCACTGTTGCCGTGACTGCCGGGCTGTGGACGAGGAGGCTGCGGCTCCGGCCTCGGGTAGATATCTGTCGGAAAATGATACAGCGACTTTAGGCAAACAAGGCCAGCTCCCAGATATGAGCCATCGCTAAAACGGAAGCTCTGAAATGCAAAGGGATGTTATAGGTCACCTGAAATTTCTGGCCATAGCTGAGCCCTGGTAGAGCAGTGGCTAAGAGCTCAGCTGGTAACCAAAAGGCCGGCAGTTCGAATCCGCCAGCCGCTCCTTGGAAACCCTATGGGGCAGTTCTACTCTGTCCTACAGGGTCACTATGAGTTGGAATCGACTCCATGGCAGTGGTTTGGTTTGGTTTTACTGGTTTATTGCCCAGCTGGAGTCCCTGGGGGATGCAAACGGTTAATGTGCTTGGCTGCTCACCAAAAGTTTGGAAGTCGAGTCCACCCAGAGGTGCCGCGAAAGAAAGGCCTGGTGATCACTTCCGAAAAATCAGCCACTGAGAACCCTGTGGAGCCCAGTTCTACTCTGACACACACGGGGGCACCATGAGTCAGAGTCGACTTGCTGGCCACTATTTTTTTCTTTCTTTCTTTTTTTCTTTATTGCCCAGTTAAAAATCGTGGAGCCAACGTTTACATTAAAGACCCTAAGCCTACAATTTGGAAACTACTTTCATCTTTGTGCCGAGCAGCTCCGTGTCTGGTTCTCACGCCTCATGGATCCTTGGAATTGATACGGCAGGTGTTCTGTTGCTAACCCTCAGTGTTTAGGGCTGTCACAGATAACAGAATTGTTTACAAAAGCTAGTCACCCACATTGTGATGAAGATGTCTCCCGTTTTGATACTGTGTTATACTTTCCACCTCGCTTCTGTACATCGTTTTATCCAAATTCCGTAACTTTTACCACAAGGCTGTTTCTCAAGCTCACCACGCACTCGCTGCCCCAGGGCCTTTGCACGTACATACTTTCTGTCTCAGTCTCCCTCCCACTGCCTGTCTGTGACTGGGTTGTTGTTGTTGGGGGCCATCCAGTCAATCCTGACTCATAGTGACCCCATGTGACAGAGTAGAACTGCCCCACAGGGTTTTCTAGGCTGAAGTCTTTACAGGAGCAGATGGCCAGGTCTCTTTTGCCACTCTAAGCATGTCCATGGAAACCCTGGTGGCACAGTGGTTAAGAGCTACGGCTGCTAACCGTAAGGTTGGCAGTTTGAATCCTCCAGGCGCTCATTGGAAACCCTGTGGGGCAGTTCTATTCTGTCCTATAGGGTAGCTATGAGTCGGAATTGACTCGATGGCAATGGGTTTGGGTTTTTTTGGTGAAGCATGTCCATGAATGAATATGAATATGAAAGCGTCTCGAGTATTGATTTTAGGGTTACAAGTAAATTTTATGAGTCGGCGAATTTGCAAACACGGAATCCCTGAATAATGAGATGGACTGTACTTTAAAACAAAAAAACCTCGTTGCCGTCAAAGTCAATTCCAGCTCATAGTGACCCTATAGGGCAGGATAGAACTGCCCCATAGGGTTTCCAAGGGGCGGCTGGCGGATTCAAACTGCTGACCTTTTGGTTGGCAGCCGTAGCTCTTCACCACAGATGCTATTAATTGTACATTAATTATAGTTTTCATTTCCTTTTGGATTATTGTTGTATGCCGATGAGTCGGTTCTGACTCATAGCAACCATGTGACGGGGTAGAACTGCCCCATAGGGCTTCCCAGGCTGTAACCTTTATGGCAGCAGATTGTCAGGTCTTTCTCCTGAAGAACCACTGGTGTGTTCAAATCACTGACCTTTCGGTTAGCAGCCAAGCGCTTTAATCACTGCACCACCAGGGCTCCTCCAACTGTACTTTAATTCAGGACGAATGAAGGGACTTAATTCTTAAAGCTCTTCTTCCAGAAACCCATCTCAGAAAACTGTAAATATGTGCCGAGCATGAGTGTTTTTCATTTCTTGAAATATACTCTCTCGTGTGATGTCTTTTAGTTCTTGTGTGGTGCAAATGGTTAATGCACTCTGCTGCTAACAGAAAGGTCTGAAGTTCAGGTCCACCCAGAGGCTCCTCGGAAGAAAGGCCTGGTGATCTAATTCTGAAAAATCAGCCACTGAAAACCCCATGGAGCACGTTCTACTCTGACACGCACGGGGGCGCCATGAGCCGGGGTCGACTCGACTTGACGGCAACTGGTTTATTATGTTTTAATTTTAAGCTAATATAAAAGAGAGGTACAGACCCCAGGATCCCCCGAGTGGCACAGATGGTTAACGTGCTCAGCTGCTAGCTGAGAGCTTGGGGGTTCAAGTCCACCCAGAGGCGCCTTGGAAGAAAGGCCTGGCGACCTGCTTCTGAAAAGTCAGCCATTGAAAACCCTGTGGAGCACAGTTCTGCTCTGATGCACACGGGGGCGCCATGAGGCTTCGTTCACTCCGCGGCAGCGGTGTTTGTTTTTGTTTTTGAACAATGCTGGCTTGAAGAGATGCCTGACAACAAAGGGCAGAAAGTCACCAGGATCCTCATGTTACCCCGACTCAGGAGATCATGAGCCTGCAGCTTGTCTTCCTCCTCCACTTGACAAGTCACCCCGGTTTGGAAAATGCTGACTGAGAGGACACCTTGGATGATTCATTCTCAAGGATGGTTAGCATTTTAAAGGTTCTGAGAAGTCCTGCAGCAGAGAAGCCCATCTGAATTTGTTTCATTTTGCCGGGGTTGTTAGTTGCCCCGAAGTCAGCCCTGACTCACAGCGACCCCATGGGGAGAAGGTAGACTAACCAGTGACTTAATTGTCTGTTTACTACCTCACTTAGTCTTAGGTGTTGCTGCACTGGGTTTGAGTCACTACTCTCAGCGGCCTCTGCTGTGGAGGTGGGGTGACTGGACGTGATGGACATGCTGTTGGCTGTGATGGCGTTTAAACAACAGAACAAGTTTCCAGGAAGACCGAGAGGTCCTCACCTTAGCTGCTTGCACACCGCTCGGCCTGGTCAGGGTTTTAGGGTTGTTGCATTGCAGAGGATTTTTCTGACTTTAACAGAGGCACTTTGGAAGAAAGGCCTGGCAATCTACTTCTGAAAAATCTGCCACTGAAAACCCTGTGGAGCACAGTTCTACTCTGACACACACAGGGGTGTTGTGAGTCAGAGTCGACTTGATGGCAGCTGGGTTTTTTTTTTTGTATTAATTCCTTTTTTGTGTTGAATTGTAGTTCTTACATGGTGAGTGTAAAAAATTCATGGAGAAAGTCACTGGCGACTTTTAGGAGGAAAAAAATGGAGAAATGAAGATGAAATGACAGAAAATATACAACATAGTTGGACTTGCTTGACTGGGAGAACCCAAGTTATTTAGCATGCTAAAAACAAGTTAGAAAAAGAACTTGGTTTCCAGCCTAATTTGTTTTCCGTCACAATAACAGAAAATGTGTCCCGTGAGTGCCATGTATTTTTCAGATGTCAGAACAAAGTGAAAATAAAATTATTTGGCGTCAATTTAATCTTCTCACTCCATGCTAGTTAGGATCGGAACTCAGTTTCCTGCCAGGGGGCTATGACTTATTTCAAAAGCAACCAAGTTAAAATTCCTAGTAAATAAAAGCTGGAGTCCCTGGGTGCTGCAAACAGGTAACACACCCTTGGCTGCTAACCGTAAGGATGGAGGTTCAAGTCCACCCAGAGGTGCCTTGGAAGAAAGGCCTGGCGATCTCCATCTAAAAAATTAGCCATTGAAAACTCTGTGGAGTACAGTTCTACTCTGACACATACGGAGTTGTCATGAGTCAAAATCGACTCAAAGACAACTGATTTTTTTTTGTCTATGTATTTATGCGGAGCCCTGGTGGTGCAGTGGTTAACAGCTACGGCTGCTAACCAGAAGGTTGGCAGTTTGAATCCACCAGCTGCTCCTTGGAAACCCTATGGGGCAGTTCTACTCTGTCCTATAGGATCATTATGAGTCGGAATCGACTCGACAGCAATGGTTTTTTTTTTTTAATGTATTTATGTATCTATAGTCTATATATCTACATATCTACGGAGCTCCTGGGTGGCGCAAATGGTTAACGAAGGGGTGCTAAGAAGCACCTCGGAAGAAAGGCCTGGAGATCTCCTTTGGTAAAATTAGCCACTGAAAACCCTCCAAAGCACAGCTCTACTCTGCCACACATGGGAGCATCATAAGTCGAGGCTGACTTGACGGCTACTGGTACCATATAAATAAAAGACAATTCCATCCAGTCGGTTTTGGGATGAGTTGGAACCCTCAGAATTCTTACTTCCTCCGTTGTCCGGGTTTCCAGGCTGCGGCTGATAAGGCGGCTTTGGCTTTGGGTAGATATCTGTGGGGAAGATCACACTGAGTTTTTAGAAGAGAAAATCATCCTTCAGGTATGATCAGCCTATAAGACTAGAACCTCAAAGCCACTAGAGATTTGGAGTTTTGTTCACCCTTGCTGCTCAAGGCGTTAACAGATGACCATCATCCGCTTAAAAATCCCTTACCTGCTAGAAGTCAAGTTTCAAAACGTGGAAATTAAAACAACCACAACAAAACCCTTCCATTTTTGTTCCTAGAAGCTCGTCTTCGTTACAAGAAGATGGGGTACACCTGCCTGCAATTATTATGACAGGTCATCCTAAGGAGACAGGTTTTTTTTTTTTAATCTTTTTTATTTTTAATTGTGGTGAAAATATACACAATGAAATATATGCCAATTTAACAGTCTACACGTACAATTCAGTGACATCGATTACCTTGTTCAAGTTGTGCATCTGTTCTCATTATCCTCGATGAGCTGTTCATGATAACTTAGCATAACTCTTGTTATGATGATACCCAACAGGCCATTATCATTTTCAAAGTCCTTCCATCTATAAACGCACTGACTTTCGACCCTTTTCACCACTTCCAGCTTAAATCAATAAAGTCAAGCTTTCAATTAAAAAAAAAAAAAAGTTGGGAAAACACCAATCCTTTTAAACACTAGGAGCCCTTGTGGCCCAGTGGTTAAACACTCCACTGCTAACGGAAATTTTGGTGGTTTGAACCTACCAAGCTGCTCCGTGGGAGAAAGATGAGACAGTCTGCTTCCGTAAAGATTTACAGCCTTGGAAACCCTGTGGGGCGGTTCTACTCTGTCCTATAGGGTCGCTATGAATCCACTCGACGGCAAGGGGGTTTGGCTTTGGTTGTTTTTAACCACCACCAGCTTTAACTAATAAAGTCAAAGCTTTCAATTAAAAAAAAAAAATGTAGAGAAAACGCCCAGATGAGAAATTGCATTTTAGTCTATTTGCGATTATGTTTTCTTTCCAGAAAAGTAACAGCCATACCCCTGGAGTACCTCTCCCAAAATTCACTTCACGTAAAATTCACCGTCTTCCCCACTGGAAAGTGTGCAACTCAGTGCATCGAATGCATCCCCAGTGTTCTGCAGCCACCACCTCTGTCCAGCTCCAGAACCTTCTCACTGCGCCAAAAGGAAACCCCACCCCCGTGAGCGGTCCCTCCCTCCCCCTCCCCCAGTCGTGGCCATCACTAACCCCCTTTCTGTCGCTGTGGATTTGCCTGGTCTGGACATCTCATGAAACAGAATCAGCCTATATGCAGCCCTTGCCGTCTGATATCTCTCTCAGAGTGATGTTTTCAAGGTTCATCCACCTTGTGGCATGCATCGGGACTTCATTTCTCTTGATGGCTGAGTAATGCTCCATCGTATGGATGGACCACATCTTGCTCATCCATTCATCTGTTGACGGGCACTTGGGTAGTTTCTCTTCTGTGGCTGAGTAATACTCCATCG